CCTTCCTTCCTTCCTTTTCTCCTTTTTCCTTTCCTCTTCCTTCTTCTCCCTTCTTTCCTTCCTTCCTTTTCTCCTTTTTCCTTTCCTCTTCCTTCTTCTCCCTTCTTTCCTTCCTTCCTTTTCTCCTTTTTCCTTTCCTCTTCCTTCCTTCCTTCCTTCCTTCCTTCCTTTTCTCCTTTTTCCTTTCCTCTTCCTTCTTCTCCCTTCCTTCCTTCCTTCCTTCCTTCCTTCCTTCCTTCCTTCCTTCCTTCTTTTCTCCTTTTTCCTTTCCTCTTCCTTTTTCTTCCTTCCTTCCTTCCTTCCTTCCTTCCTTCCTTCCTTCCTTTTCTCCTTTTTCCTTTCCTCTTCCTTCTTCTCCCTTCCTCCTTCCCCTCTTTCCCTATTTTTCCTCTTTCCATCTTTTTCTTTGTCTTTCCTCATTCCCTTTCTCCTTTCCTGTCCCTCCTGGCATGCTCAGATGCCAAAGGGGAAACGTTTCTCCTCTTGTTTTGTTTTTAGTTTATTTTGCCAGCTGTCTGCCAGTGAAAGCCGAGCTTGGGCTCCATTTTCACTGGCAGAGGGCTGCAGGAGGCCGCCGGAGCCAAAAACGGGGCCTGCGAGGGCCATACACAGCTCCATTTTCTCTGACAGGGGCACCACGGGCCGGTCCTTCGCTGTTTCCAGAGCGGCCCGCGGGCCAGATCTAAGCACCCAGTGGGCCAGATCTGGCCCCTGGGCCTTGAGTTTGACACCCTTGCCTTATACAATTCTTTCTCTGTTCTCCTGACAGCCTGTTTCCTAGCCCTGTGGATTATTCCGGTCCAAGCAAGCAGGGTCCGTATTGTGTCCATCCCGGAGACCCCCGCCGAAGGCCAGAGTGTCACTTTCTCTGTGGAAAGAGTGCAGGGCGACATCCGTGAGGTCAAGTGGTACCGAGGGACGGACTCCCAGGAGTCTTCAAGGATCTTCACCTTTTCCCCCGGAAGTTATCAACCTCAGGAAAACGGGGCTCAATTTACCAACAGAGAATTTGGTTTCCACAACGGATCTCTCCAGATCACTGGGCTGAAGCCCAGTGACGCCGGCCAGTACAACGTTGTGATTGCACTGCGGCCCCAAGAAATTCTCAAAGCCTCCGTTGAGCTCCGGTTGGGTAGTAAGTACGGGTCCTTGACTTATATAACAGTTTGTTTAGTAGCCATTCGGAGTTACCACGACCCCGAAAAAAAATGACTTATGACCATTTTCCATACTGATTATGACCATTGAATTCTGGGAATTGAAGTCCACCTATCTCTCTGGAGAATTCTGAGAACTGAAGTCTACTCATCTCAAAATACCGTAGCTGGGGAATTCTGGGAATTGAAGTCCACCCATGTCAAAATACTCTAGCTGGGGAATTCTGGGAACTGAAGTCCACCCATTTCAAAATACCCTAGCCAGGGAATTCTGGGAGTTGAAGTCCATCTGTCTCGGGAATTCTGGGAGCAGAAGTCCTTCCATCTCAAAATACCCTAGCTGGGGAATTCTGGGAATTGAAGTCCACCCATCTCAAAATACCCTAGCTGGGGAATTCTGGGAATTGAAGTCCACCCATCTCAAAATACCCTAGCTGGGGAATTCTGGGAGTTGAAGTCCACCCATCTCAAAATACTCTAGCTGGGGAATTCTGGGAATTGAAGTCCACCCATCTCAAAATACCCTAGCTGGGGAATTCTGGGAGTTGAAGTCCACCCATCTCAAAATACTCTAGCTGGGGAATTCTGGGAATTGAAGTCCACCCATCTCAAAATACCCTAGCTGGGGAATTCTGGGAGTTGAAGTCCACCCATC